ATGAATTGACCGATTTACTAAATTTGATTATTAAACCATTATCCCCGCATGCTAATTTTAATCAAATTATTGATGATCTATCGAAAGGTTCTCGATTATGCTTAGATGTTACAAAAACTTATCATTTAGATCGAATTCAAGCAGTTCAATCAATGTTATCAAGTCCATTTCGTGAAGATGCTTGGTATTTAGTACATGAAATCGATTCAAATATATTTGGTAAATGTCGAATAATTTTAATACGTTTACGAATGTATTTTCTTCTGATGCATCAAATACTTACAAATGATATTAATCTTCAAATACAAACTTCAAGTTTACATTCATTAATAAGTAATAATAATAAACGACAAGATTCAAATTTATCAATATCAAATAATCTTAAACGTAGAAAAATTCTAGATTTCAAAGTGTAATTTTTATTTATGATAGAAAAAAATAGTTGAATTACGAATGAATAATCGATGAAGACAAGAACGAAAAAGAAAACACAAAAAAAAGTAAATTATGAACACAAAAACAGGAAAAGAAAAAAAGAGAGAAATTGAAAATTAGAAAATCATACCATACAAGATTCACACGATTCAAAAACGCATCAGCAACCGTCGATTTTTCTTGCTCAGATTTCGAAATAGTATATAAAAAAAAAAGGAAAAGAAAAGAAGAAGATAAAGAAGAAGCAGTAGCAGCAGCAATACCTAATGAATAATTTTTTTCTCGAGTCAGTGTACAAACAAAAATTGATGGATAAATAATAAACTATTCTAACGTCGGTTGCTTATTAATTTAGGTCTTTGGCTATACCTTATTAATCTTCTAATCGGAACGAATAGAGTTTTCCTGAGAGAAAAGCAAAACTAAAGACATGGAAATATAATAATTCATGTTCGAACAAATAAAGATAAAACACACACATTCACACACACGGAAGAATCATTCAATTGATGTTCATTCACATAGAACAATCTGACATCCACTACACACATACATATGTTATTTATTGATAACGAGTTGAAAATCGCGTTGGTGGTTGTGGACGGCCATTATCCGACAGTGGTGAATCATGACCACCAGCTGAATCATTATCATCTTCCTCATCGCTATATTGCCTATTGAAAAAAACAGCAAAGGTCTTTAAAAAAATTAACGTTTCTTTAATTTACCCCTGAATATTTCCAATTTTTTTCTTTGCAGCACTTTTTTGTTTAACTTGTTTAACGGAGGTTCGATTACGTTGAACAACTTGTGCTTGTGAATTCAAACGATTTTGTTGTAAAATAACATTTTGTGTTGAACCAAAACCTGAATTCGGACTAATTGAACCTGGTGTTGCATAATCAGCTAATATACCTGATGATGATAATGATTGTGATGGACGAATGGGTGTTGTCATAACAAGATCATTCAAAGATGATGAACCCCAATTACGATTATGTTCATTGTTATTATTTAAATTTTCATTATCACTATAAGCCCGATTTGTATCATTATGTCGTTTATCATTAGTTGATATCATCGGTGGTGATACAAGATGACGTAAAGTTGAATTTGTTGTTGTATTTTCATCATTCGATATATGTGGAAAACCCATTGATGAATAACGCATTTGATATTCATTTGTATTTTGTGATAAATTTTGACGACGATTTGCTGTTGACTTTGAAAAATCATATGCTGTTGACGAATTCGTATTATCATGAATATAATTATCATTTTTGTGGATATCAAGATTATTATAGAGTGCATCAATTTGATCAATAGTCTCATTAAAACCAGTTCTATTATTATTTGGATTTATATTATTTGATTGTCGATAATAACGATGAACTATTTGATTAAGTTTATCAAAATTATCATTATTTAATTGTTGATAATTATTCTGTTGTCTAGTACGATAATGTGATGGAAGTTTGGATGTAACTTGTTCATTATTTTTATAACGTCGTGTGTGTGTTGAGGGTGTATTTGATGATTGAGAATTTTGATTTATATTCATACCAGTAGCAGCACTTGATTGTTCATCACTTGAATAATTTGTATTAAGACCTTGTGAACGTAATTCATCAGCACTAAAATAACCTGATGAACGATTTAATGAACGATCCGATGAATGAAAATCACTATTAATAACGACAGTATTTCCTGGTCGTGCAGCTATATTTTGAATTGACACTCGACCATCTTTTGATGTTGTTACAATGGCCCGTGATGGTTGATCAAGTGCAACAACTGTTGGTTGTTCAGGTAATTGTGGCGGACGTTTTTCAATTTCAATTTCAAATTCTATATTAGGACCGAGTAGATTACCAAGACTACCTGTACGACGTTTTATTTGTCGACGATATGCTGATTTTGTATAGGGAGAAGAAGAATATTGATCTTGTTCTTGTTGCTGTTGTCGATCTTGTTCGTGTAAAACTGAATGATATGATGATGAACGTGCATGAGCACCTAATGAAGATGAATATTCATTCGTAGTATCGTATGGACCTAAGAAGAAAAAGAAGCTTCTCTTTTTAGGAGCAGAAAGTAATTCTTGTTGAGATGAATATTAAAAAAAAAAAGAAAGATCATTAGTATACGCAAAAGCTTAAAGAATAAACAGATGTTTTTATTTTGCTTGCACCCAATAAGAGTGTAGCACAAGAAAATAAAACACGAACCTGAAGTTGCTAATAGGAATAATATGAATTTTAAATACGAAAATAAATTATATACAAAATAAAATTCGAGAATAGTTTTCTTTTTTTTTTCTATGTAAACATACTTATTCGTGATCGACTTTGTCTTTGTTGATAATCTTGATTTATTGTTGATGGACGATAACTTGTTGAATTAATACGTTCATAATGTAATTTTGAACGTTGTTGTTCTTCTTGTTTTATTCGTGCATTAAGTTCAGGTTCACTTGTTCCATGTTTTATTGTTGAAGGACTTGATTTCATACCAACACCATTAGATAATTCTGGTACACGAACAATCGCAATTATTTCATTTGGTGTATATTTACCAAATGTAACTTGACTTTGTGGACTTAATGATGTTATTTCCATAGTACGTGGTGGACCAGAACTTAATGTACGAACATTTGAACGTGATGATGAACCTTGTAATAAACTATCTTGTGAACGATCACGTTGTATTGGTTTAAACCATGTTTCTTCAATACGAACGGGTTCTTCTTCTTGTATTCTTGTTGTTGTTGTCATCGTTGTTGTTATTGGTGGTGGTGGTATTGGATAGGATATACTATCGGATTGAGGTGAATCATAACGATGTTGATGAATACCACTTTCACGATATGTTTGTGTTTGTTGACGAATTTCATTTGTTGGTGTATACGTTGATGCAGGTGGTGAACGAATTGCTATTGGTGAAGTTTGAAAAAAAATAAAATAAAGATATTTTTCTTAAAAGAAAAGAAAATTTTTTACTATTAGATTTTGTTGAATCATAATAATGTGTACGTTCATTTAATAGAGCTCGTTTTGATGGTGTTATTGTACGTGATGCTTCATCGGATGAACATTCAGGTGAACGTACCATTGGAGCAGCTGTTGTTGTTGTAGTTGTTGTTGTTGTTGTAATAACTGTTTTTGGTGCACCTGGACTACCGGTTTGTCCAGTTTTAGTTGTTGATTCTTTAATTTCATGTGTACGTTGTACTTGACATTCAACACGTGTTTCAGTTTCGATTGTTTCAATTTCATCAACAACTAATGGTTTTGTCATAATTGTACGTGATTGTGTTGTTATTGGAACTTTTCGTTGCGAACTTAATCCACTATGATAGTTAGCAATATTTTCATAATCTGATGGTGGTGTACTTGTTACTTGACGTCGAATATTACGTGGTTGTTGTTTTTGTTGATTAAATTGATCGGTGGAAATAATTTCTGTATCATATTTATATAATGATCGTGAAACTGAGTCATCTCCACCATGAATTGTTGTTTGATCAGTGTCAGAAGTTTGTCGTCGACCATAACGTGAACTTAATGTTGCTGATACTGAATCACCATAAATGCCACTATCACGTATTGTTGGTGTACGATTAACATCATCAATAATTGATGATGATGCATTATTACGCCATGATGATGAACTTGTCGGTAAACGTTGACTTGTAGCTGTAGAATATTCAAACATACCTGAATCTGAACCCATACTGGATTTATATGGATCACGTATTGGTTTTGTTGTTGTACTTGTTATTGGAATTTCATGAGATATATGTGGAGAAAGTTCGATTAAAAGACCTTTACCTAAACAAGAAGAAAGAAGCTATTAGCACAATCTCTATAGAATTAAAATATAAAACACGATGCAGCTGCTCTTGCTAATGTTTTATTCTATCTGTTTTGGGACATGTTTATTTGCCATGATATTAATTAATTCACCAGAAACGTAATAAGAAAGTAGTTCATATATTATAGCGAGACATTATTGATATATGATCTTTGATCGTATATCAACAACGTCTGTAATGTATCGTTGCTAACAAGGGAATTATTTGAACTCATATTGAATGTACAAAGAGATCTTAAGTAAGACTAAACAAGTCCTAAAATGAATCGTACCGATCAGTCTAACGAACACAGTTATGATCATTCAATTGAGTTTTTGACTCCTTTTTTTAAATATTTATAGAAGAATTAAGTAATAGAATTTCAATATGAAATTCAACCTATAGACAGGTCTAATGATCCTTAGAATATCTTAAATGTTTTTTTTTGTTGATATATTAAATTTCCAAAAGAGATGCTCGTTTACCACAAAAATCGAATTTACTTGAACATTGAATACTTTGACAAAGGAATACTTTGTTCGATTGAAACTTTAAAGATATTCTACCAGTCATTTGACATGTCTATGAGTCAAATTTCAGATCAAAATATCATTAATTGATCTTTCGGTAAACATCTTAAGTTGACTGGAAAATTCAGTAAAACAGTCATAATTTGGCTCCAGAGACCTGTGAGCATGAAGTGTTTACGATTTTTCTAGTCTTACCAAGATTTTGTGAACTCACACGGCAGATATCAGTCCGGATAGTTCTCTCGTAAGATACCTATCATCGTCTGAGTAAAAGGAAGGAGTACGAATTTCCACTCTAGATGCTACAAAATAATATATTGAACAAACCTTTGCTTGTTGGTACATGTGAAAGAATATTTTCCATATTTGTTTCATTAAATGATGATTTATTTCGTTGACTAATATATGTTGCATCATCTAATGGTTGTGTTGTACTTTGTGAGAAATCTCTAAGACGTGTTTTTGGTGTACGTCGTCTTATATCATATTGTTGTCCTTGTTTATTTGTTGGATCACTTAATTCATCTTCACTTTCATGACCAGCATCTTCATCAAGTTTTTGTTTTGTTGATTTAGGTGTACTTTGATAAATAGGTGGTGATGCACCACTTAAATCTGAATCAATTGATGATATTATTCGTTTATCTTTTATTGTTAAATCTGTTGATGTTTGTGGAGGTGGTAATTGTTCAGTTGTTTTGGTCATTGATGATTCTAATGATGATTTAATTGCATCAAATCCTGGACGACTAAGACGATCTGTTGGTTGTACACGAGATGTTGATTTTGATTCAGCACCTTCAATACGTGATATATGTTCTGTAACACGTGATGGAGCTGTATGTGTTTCACTTATACGACGTTCATTTGTATCAAAGTCATCAATCTATTAAAATTTATATAAAAAGAAAATTTTCCATAACTAAATATATCTTTAAAATTCTATTTTTTCGTGCATTGATTTCGCTATTGTAGGTTGAATGTGAGAGATTTTCTATTATTAAAAAGAATTCACCATATGTTTAGTAAAGTGTAATAATAAACCAATGAGACAATAATCTTGTGATATATATTCTTACCTGAAAGATAGATAGTTTTTGATTAAAAACTACATATTTTTCTTTCTTATATATCATTTCTCATTAAAATTTGTCGTGATCAAATGATGTGTCTATATGTATGTGAAGCTCACTACTCAATCTTTGTCTTCGGTGTCGTGTGTATATGATGGATTAGTTCGTGAACAACTACAATCGTACAACTCATGTCTTCTCCTCTTTTTTCTCTCTTTTCGTTGAAAATGATTAAGTCAGATACAGATAAATGAAGTGATTCTATAGTTGTCAAGAAATAACGACAACAAAAACAACAACAACGAAAAAAAACGAAACCATCACCAAAGAAGTATTATTGGAATACATACGAGATATGTTTGTCGTCGACCACTGATACGATACACTCGTCTGTGTGGTACGACGATTGTTGGTGTAGGTTGCTGCTGTAAAAATGATGATTGTTCAAATTATAATCTTTTGAGTAAATTGATTTTACTCCTCCCGTTCTGATTAGTATAGAAAAAAAGGAAAAGGGGAAGCAAACCAGATATATAGATGCGCACACAGACACTCCAGAAAGATAAGCAATTATTGACCCAAGGAGAGCTGAGTGTATTAACTGAAGAATTATTTAAAAAAAGTTAAGATGTTTTTTTTCCTTACCGGTCGACGATTTGTTGATGTCCATCCTTTATTGATTTGATCTTGTTCTTCAAATATTCGTCGTCGCTCTGTTAAACTAGTTGATATTGGTATTTCAGATTTTGATAAGTCATTTTTTATAGTTCCATTTGTTGATGATTCAAATGTATTTCTTAATTCTCCGACACGACTACATGTTGATCGATCAATTCGATTTATTATTGAATCAATTGTACTATCAAATTGTTGTTGTTCAAATCTTGATCGACGTTCATCAATAATTGATGATGATGATGATCGTTTTGGTGGTTGTGGACGATCATCATCGGTACGCGATGTTGAAGTAATTTTCTTAATTGTTTCACGTGATCGAATAGACTACAAAGATGAAAAACAATTTATTTATCTATTTTTTTAAAAATTTAATGAAAATTTTCATAAAAGAAGAAGAAGTTTGATTCCTAAAAAAAGATAAAAAAACTAAATCAATAAATCAATAAAGGTTAGTTAAACACGCGAGAAAAATAGAAGGATCGGTGTTGACATATCATGCAAACGTGCAAGAATAATCTCAGTATCTCAACTTACATCAACTAGTACCAATCTTTTATTTTCCTGTTCATCTTCATCCGATGATGAACGAAGATGATAAATTTGTTGATGTAACTGTTTATCTGGTGATAGCCCTCGAGATACACGAACAAGAATTTCTTTGACAGCATGTCGTGATGGGGGAGCTGTTTTTAATTTGTTTTGTTCAAATAATGTTTTATCATATCCAGATAGATTTATTGAATTATCTTTGAATTGTTGTTGAATATTTGTTGGTACAATAGATACTCGTTGTGCTGTATAATTGCCATTTATTGATTTTCCAAACTGTGATATAGGGAATTAGGGAAAATTAATAATAAATATATTTCTTTTATTTCTTTCTTTCTTTCACTCTCAACTTCTTATTCAAAGAAACTATGAATAATGAATAAAAATACTCTTTTTTTTCTTTACCTGATCAAATTGATCATCATCTGATGTTGGTGTATAAATTTGCTTAAGTTTATTTCTCCAATTTGAATCTCGTTTTTGTCCAGCTTCATTAATTATTGTTGTCAAACCATGATATGTACGATCACCGGTGGTTACATATGGATCTGACATATCATCTTCTGACGATGCATATCGTTGTTGTTGTGTACTAATTACTGATGTTTGATATTGATTTGATGGTAAGCGACGATCAGCATGTTCTTGTTCAACTTCAACATGGTATTCTTCACTAACTGTTTCCTCACGTTGTTGTTGTTGTCGACGATCAGATATATGTGTTGATGGTGTTATTATATTTGATATATGATCATATGTTGATGATGGTGCCCTTGATATTATTGTTTGACTTGTTGATGGTATTGGTACATATTGACCTGGTCGTACACGATCATAAGTTGTTGATGATGATGATGGTGGTGTTGTTGAATCAAATTTTGTATCAAAACGTTCAGCATTTGCTACTGATTCAATATCACGTGCAAGTTTTGCATCATAAACTATTTCTGTTGTATAAACATCTTCCGAAGACCAATGACGATCTCGTGGTGTAATTTCTAAAAAGCAACAAAGTTTATTAAGTCAATATTTGCGTAGAAAAAAACATGTATATTTACCAGTAATTATTTGACGACTAGGTGATGATGTTGTTGTCGTTGGTATTGTTGAAATGAATGGTGGTGGTATTTCTTCATAAACAGGACTTTGTGGACGTTCCATAGAAACAATTGTTGTTTTTGTTGGATCAATTGTATGAGCTGGTACACGACGATAGACTTCTTTAATAACATCATAGCTTTTATGTCCTTTAATACGTTCATTTTTTTCTTTATATTCTTCTTTAATAACATCACTTTTAATACGTTCACCTGTTTGATCAATAGTTGAACGTAATAATTGATTTGTATTTTTATCATATTCATCTATACGACGACAACGAAATTCTTCACTCCATTCTTCAAAAACAACTTCTTCACTTGATGTTGATTTTTCATCTTCACTTACATGTTGAACAATAGTATCACGTATAAGAACTTCGGTTTTATTAAGATCATGTAATGGTACAGTTGAACTTGGTACTAATCGCGCACGCTCAAAATCAGGTACATGTTCAACAGGTAAATGTTTTGGTGGTAAATGATCAGATTGATCTCTTAAAGTTGTTGCTGCATAATGAAGTTTATCTGTTTCACTTGTATAAGGAATTCTAGTTGGTTGATCGGTTTTAAAATCAATAGTTTCTGTCATTATTGGTTGTTCAATAAAAGGACCGGGACGTGATGGAATAACTAAAACGAATCAATACATCATTGACTATGATTTTATTCAAATATTTAGGAAAATATTTCATTATAAATCAATGTCTTGTCCTTCTTATCGTTATGTATACAAATATTCTATTTGATTTATAGATCATCTTAGTCCGAGATATAAAGAATATGTACATATATGCATTTATTGAAAGAGAAACCATAGAAAACGATCGTCTCAGTGTTAGCATAGAAGAGAGAGAAAACAAAAAAAACAAGAGGGAGGAGTGAATACTTGAGAAATTTTCAATGATCGATGATGAAGTTATCATGCTTCGTTCAAGCTGTTGTTTCGTAACTTAATTGACTCATTATAATATATATATATAGAGAGAATAATGTTCAATAAGCATTATTTTTTATTTAAAACAAAAAAACGGTTAATGCTTCAATCTTACTTCGATATTCTAAAGTTAATCTAATAGTTCTACCAGATGATATTGAAGTATTTGCTTGTAGTTCAACTGTTTTTTTCATTGGTAAAGATGACATATTCATTATTTAATACAATAAAATTAACGAATAAGACTTATATGCGCAAAGCAAAAGCAAAATGAATACATAAATGTAGGAAATGTAATAACAACTGGCAGACGTTGTTCATGATTCCAGAAGGAGTATGAAATAAACGTGCATATATATTTTTATTATTATAACTAATACACGTATATGTTATAATAATAAAAAAATAACCACTCGTCGTCTCAAAATTTATTAACAGAATACAAGAAAGAGAAAAAAATCCAATATACGATGAATAGATAAAACTGTTATTGGTACCATTCAACGGTTGTTTCTTAAAATATGAAGAAGAATGACGATGTTGTATCTTCCTCAATAGTTTTTCATTTCCACACACCTATCGATTGTTGATTACCTTTTATTTTTCTTTTTATTTCTGTGGAATTTAATAACAAGCGAGAAAAAGAACGAGATGGCGGTTGTTATGTTTGGCAAAGTTCAAAACTTTTTCTCTCGACCAGTCATAGTCAACACGAAGCTGTTTCACCTTCTCGTCTCTTGCTTCTCTCTATTTTTTCTCACTTAATCGAGAGCCATATACAAGCACACAAGAACTACAATATCGTCCGAAGAAATAATGACGATATACGAACCATTGAAATTATTCTGATTCTCCCTTCTTTCCTTTTCTCTTTATTTTTTCATAGCATTACTCATTGCGTTTCTTGCACAAACATTGCTCAGTGACACTTCTACACTCACCGACAGGTCTATTAAAATATATTATCGCGTCTCTAGTATAGTGGGACGCAAGACCAATCACATCATCATAAGTATGGGCATATTATTTTTGTGTTGTTTTTATATATATGAAACAAAGGAAATAAAGGAAAGAAAAAAAAAATGGTGCAAGAAAAAAAAAACACACTTGTTTGGTTTGTCTCACATTCATTTATTTAATGATCAATTTTCAATCGCCTTGCTCAATGCTGCTTTACACAGAAAAGTATAAAACTCCTCATACATCTGTATTGTGTGGTTTTTTCTTTCAAGGAAGTTCTGACAGATATATTCGTAAATTCTATATACATGATGACCTTGGCTCTATGTGTATGTCATTTGAGCTGTTCCATTTTTCTTTTCTACAATATATACTTATAATGGAAGAAGAGGAACCTTGAGTTCTTACAATAATGATGCAAGGATCAAATCAAAGTAGAAAAAAGAAGTAGTAACCTTCAATCATATTCTTTTTCCGATTTGTCCACTTGATTTTAAAATTTAATTTGGTCAAAAACAACAAATCGCTTGAAAAAAAATTTCATTTTAATCGATGTTCAATGTCATCGATGTTATTTTTAACCAATGAAATCAAATCGAATTTGACAACGTCATGTAATCCTTTCCTGTGCGAAACAACTACTGTCTTGTTTAATAGTAGTCAAAAAGGAAATTTAATACTTTCTCACTTTCCCTTAACAACATGATTTAACCGTGAATAGCATATCATAGCAGATAAAAATCTAACCTTCTTACGGATTATTTTGATGGCATAAACTCAAAGCAAATAACTAGACGTATGATCACGTATACAAAAAACAACACCATCGAATTATTCTCAATTTCAATAGGTGTCTGGATGATTATTATGAAAAATGAAACGAGTACTAATATGTCATGACTGGGTGTACTTAACAAAGAAAAGCGTCTAGGGAACAAGCTCAAGTGAAGTAAAAAAAAAAATAATAATAATAATAACAAGTTGAAGTTTATTTCATTCTTTATGTTTTACGATTTGGTATTTCGACCGCTATTCATACTTTTTCTTTATAACTTAACACTTGCATTATTCATCATCACCACTGATAAAGAAACCAAATACCTTACCTTCTTACTTGTCTTCTTTCAAAGAAAAAGAAAAAGGTCTGCTTGGAGAGGAAATCGACCAGTTAACGTCATGCAAGTTTATATCGAACTGAAAATGAGGACAACACGTTTGTTTCGTTCTTAGCTTACAAAAAAAGAAATTGATAAGCATGAAGAAATAAAAAAAAGAAAATCGATTTTTTTTTCTTAAATAACAACAAACATATTTTTTTCTTTTAATAGGTTTTTATATTTTTTTCTCATCTAAAAATACATACCAATAGGTATACTTTGATTTGTAAAAACACAATTCCACTAACAGTAATAGCGTATTATAGTAATAATGTTCTCGGCTTCGTTGAAAAGCTAACAACTCATACATACACATATATGCATATACATTTCTCTCTTTTTTTTCTTTCGAAAGTATATGCCGATCGCAAATATATAAACTATCGTCCTCATAACGATGTTTCGAATGATTATTATTACAACAACTATGACATAGAGGTATTATATTTTTTTTTCGAGATGAATCAGTGACGTGCACGAGTAAATGCCGAACATATACGTATAGATTTCTATGAAAAGTTTGTCTTACCTTTACGCATAGATGGTGTAGGCGTGGCTGTATGTATTGTGATATATTTCTGTTCAGGTAAATGTTCTAAATCATCAGTTTGTGTAGTTTGTCGAGCTCTATCAGGTGAATTGAATGATGGATGTAATGGTGTTGGTTCAATTGATGAACTTCTTGGTGAAATTCTTACTATTTTCGATTCATGTTCAATATATTCCTAGATATAGATATAATTACATCATAATTATAAATTAATTTATAATATTAATTTTTCTGCTGAAAAATCAACAGAAATTTTTTTTGTGTGTGTTAGTATGAGGTCCCACTGTCTTGCTTTCCTTTTAATGTTTTATAACCAAATGACCTTCTTAATTTGTATTACTTAGTCATTTTCTTTTTTTTTATATGTATATATATTCATATATATATAATATACAACACTACACTAACAAGGCTACTCGACCGTTGAATAAATTTCATATGTATAAAAAGATCACTATCGTTCCTATCGACTCTTAGTGACTGCTCTTTTCGAAATAAGATGAAAAAATAGAAGAACAAAAAAAAACAAAAAGAAATCGGATTGTGTCTCGACTCACCGATCAACTATAGATAGATAAGACAGACTACTTATTCTTTTACTACTTAATGTATGATGATGGAGAACAAGATATATGTTATTTGTCCGTTGGCATGAACAGTATGACCCTTTCACTCAGTTCATAGGTTACGAATATAATGATGTTGGCATTTAGATGGGTTCAATGTGTAGCAATAAACTATCATTGCTTCATCTTTCTTTTTTTATATATGCACGTGTGTTTGTTTGAACGAATAAAATTGAACGATGGACACTAATCGGGACGTGCATTCTTTTAATTGTTTCATTTCGTGATAGAATGATAGTCTATTAATATGTATGTGTATATGTTTTTATTTATTCTACAACACCTTACATTCGACTCATGACCTATTTGTTTTTTTTCTATCATTACTAAATCAAAATGTATTTATCGAACGAAAATTTACTACTAGCAAAAATTTCGAGACATAATATTTGTCAGGGTTTTTTTTTCATTATCTGTATGCTTAGAAGATGTTCGTTAAATATTATAAGAAGACTCAAGGTTTTTTTCTGTCATGTTTTTATAGATTAGATAAAGATGTACTACATGAAAATATACTATGATACAAATAACAGACCAGAAAAAAAACCAAGAGTTTAAAATAAAAGAATGTTTTATTTGAGAACCTTTGCAATAAACATTCAAACTAATCTATTTTGTGATAGACTATTTCATAAAGAGAAGCAGAAGATAATATTAATAGTTAGTTGCTATATATAAAACTAAAAGATATCAGCAAACTAAATAGTGCAAATAATTATAAGCATGCAAAGTAATTAAATAAAAGCAATAGCGTGTTGATAGATTGATTAGTATAGAATAAAAGCGAGAAGCATTAACATGCAAATAAAAGACTAAGAGGTTCGAAGTTTCTTAGAATAATACTTTATGTCATACTACATTGATTGACTACGAATAATTTTATTTTGTTTGATGGTATAGATATACATGCATGTAGGCGTCCCTTTTTATTATTCTGCATTGGCATGTATTACCTCATTTTGTTTTATTATTGTTGTTGTTGATGGAATAACATCAGGTAAAATACTTGATGTCGAATGATCATCTTCATTTTCAATGATTATTGGTGGTTCAACAATAGCAGCATAAAGTGTTTCAGAAAATGGATTTAATGATTGAATATGGTAATGTTCGATATAAGATGGTTGTTCATATTTATATGATATACTTTTAAGATCTTCGTCATAATCATATTGATGATTTATTTGTGCAATTGAAAAAATATCTTGTTGATTAGTTATTTTATATTCATTTGATGATATATTATCATCATAATGAATAATCGGTAATAAAAAATTCGATGATGAAAAGTTTGAATATTGATTATGAAAACTTATTTGATAGATTAAAATTTCATTGACAATAGGTAAATGAAAATGTTCTGGTTCAAAAAGAATATTTAAAAATTCTTGTTGATATTCATTGAAATTATATAATAATATATTATTATTAGCGTCTTGTTCAAGTTCGTTTTCTTTTGCATGATGAATATGATTATCTTCGTGTTGACCGAAACCAATTGTTAATAAAAATTCTTTAGTAAGATTATATTTATTTTTTTTTTCACTTGCTAATGTATCAAGTAAATAATCAACAGGTACAGTAGGTATTATATCTGATGATTGTGATGGTAAAGTTGTTGTTATTGGTGTAGCTGTAATTATATGACCAACACCAATGCTAGTCGTCGTCGAAGTTGTGTCGTTATCTTTATCAAGTGAATCGGTTTCATAGTCACTTGTTGGTGAACAATGACTAACAATCATAGCTGCAGCTATAGGGTTATTTTCTTGTTCATTATTGATATTTATTGTATATACACTATTTGATATCTCGTCTTCGAACCTCTCATCAATAGAATAAGCATCATTAGCAATAGCAGCAGCAGCAGCAGCGGCAACAACAAAATCTGAACACTCAATATTAGTTTTCAACTCTACCTGTTGTTGTATAGTTTCAAGACTTTTTTCTACAATCAATTGTTCAACTAGTTGTTCATCATGTGGCAATATTGTTGGTTGTAACCATTCAATAGGTAATGAACGACTGAAAAATGGATGTTTTTGTTCATATCGTTCAATAGCACGTTGTGTGCTATCATTATTTGATTGTATTGATGTCGTATATGATAGAGAAACTTGATCAATTAATGGTAAATGTTGTTCGGGTTCAAGACTTTCTTCAAAACGATTTAAAAATGATTCCATATCAAGTATTGATGATGTTTCAGAATATGTTGGTCGTACACGAACTTCAATGTCAATTGTAACTGGTCGTTTTTCAAGATTTATTGGTTCATATGAAGTTGCATCTATTCGATCAATACGATTCGAATGAATTGATGATATTACAGAATAATCACATTCATCCTTTGATGATAGTTGTTGTTGTCGTACACGATAGATTGGTCTTGATTGATTGATTTGTGTTGAAGGTAAAAGAGAAATTTTATCGCAACTTTGTATACGAACATTTTCATGTAATAAAGGTACTTGATGAAACTCACTAACGTAATTATCAGATTCTTTTATTATACATTCATTAGCTGCGGGTGTTATTAATGGTAAATATCGTGGTGATGGTTGATCAGATTGATACTGACCGTGTTGTTGTAACTGTTGGTATTGATTAGAAAATTGTTGATCAAAAACTTGTTCCCATGAGGAACTTTGTTCTTGATTATGATGTGCATAGTTTAGAGTTAAAAATGCAGTAGAACGAAGAGGAATTTCAGGTGTAATCGATTCATCGATATGTATATTTGATTCTGGTTGATGTCGTATTAGAAGTGAACCATCGGATAAATTCGATGGTTTTTCAGTTTGAATTTGTAAATTTTGTTGAAACTGTTGATATGGATCGAAAAAATTTCGATCAGAAACTTGTTGCCATGATGGATTTGATTCTTGATTATGATAAGCGTAGTTTAGAGGTGTAGTAAGAAGAGGTTGTTCTGAAAGTATTGATTTTGGTTGAAATGGTATAAGTTGTGAACCATCAGATAATTGTGATGGTTGTTCAGTTTGAATTTGTAAATGTTGTTGTAAATGTTGATATTGATCGAAAAAATTTCGATCAGAAACTTGTTGCCATGATGGATTTGATTCTTGATTATGATGAGCATAGTTTAGAGGAGTAGTAAGAAGAGATTGTTCTGAAAGTATTGATTTTGGTTGATGTTGTATAAGTTGCGAACTATCAGATAATTTTGATGGTTGTTCAGTCTGAATTTGTAAATGTTGTTGTAAATGTTGATATTGATCAGAAAATTCTTGATCAAAAACTCGTTGCCATGGTAGATTTAATTCTTGATTATGATGTGGATAATTTAGAGTTACAAAAGATGTCGAACGAAGAGGTTTTTCTAAAGTAGTTGCTTCATCAAAATTTACGTTTGATTTTTGTTGATGTTGAGTTAAAAGTGAATCATCTGATAATGATGATATGTGTTCATCATTTATTTCTAGATGATGATCAATAGGACGACATAAAATTTCTTGATTAGTTTTTTTTGAATATTCAAATTTATTATTTGTTTCAAGTCGTTCAATAGAACGATCACGTTGAATAGATTTTGTTTCAATTTGTTGTGTTATTTCTTGATTATTATTTTCAATATGTTCATAACGTTCACGTGATAAGATTGATTTTGGTTTAGTTATTTTAGCTTGTTCATATTGAACTGTTGATAGATATTGTACTTGTGCATTTTCTATGTTAGATTGAATTACATTTGAAATAGGTTTAAGTTTTTCATCTTTCCAATCAGTATCATAAACAACAATTGGTACACGATTATTTTCTTCAATTTTTTGAAAAAGTTTTTGATAATGATCACTTTGAATTATTTGTGTAGCATGCTGTTCTTCTAGAGCAGTAGCAGCAGTAGCCAGCTCTTCGAGCTGCAAAGCTTGGAGACTTGGCTCAGTAAGCTAGAAGAATATATATGATGCATATATTGAATTTGGTGAATATGTAAAAGACATTTTTAATATGGATTAAAAAAGTAAGCACGTATATTTTGAATGAATATGTATATACAACATCGAAAGCAAGAAAATAAGCTGCGATATAAATGTGAAATAACATTGGTAGCTTTTTCTTTTTTTTTTTGTTTATGAGACCTTCACCATATGCTACGTCTTTACATTGTTTGTCATATAACAAATATCTAATCGAGCATTTATCCAGCTATTTTTTTTCTATAGACTTACCGTTTTAGGAGCATTCAATTTTTGAACTGATTCAGTAAATGAAGCACGACCATGTGAAACATCAGTTACCCAAGATGTTTCGAGTTGTACAGCCATTGGTTCTGCATCAATATCCTTTTATAACAAAACAAAAAAGGCATCTATCTTATTAGTTATCTATGTTAAATTAAATCTATATCCCGAAAAAATGCCCCCAGTTTTTGTTTTCTAAAACAAGCGATATTGTGTATTATAAAGAAATGAGAAAAAGAAAATTATCATTTTCTTTATAAACACAATTTCTAGCTTTGTTTTATTTTGACTTAATATTGAAGCGAAATCTGTGCAATAAAAATAAAAATAATTTTTTTAAATGCATTACCACAGATATATGTTCTTGATCATGATGTGTTTGTACTGGTGGATGATGATATAATGGTCGTGTTACATCGTCAAGAGGTGCAATATCATAATAATCATATCTAATTGTAGCTGAATCATGTGGTTGTAGTTTTAAGTCTTTATCAGAACCAAATGACGATGTTCGAGATAATGGAATTTCATTTCGTTCACCTATATTAATAAATAAACAACTAGTTAAATATATATGATTAAGAAAATTTGCTTCATGATCCAAAACAATAATAATAATGATAATAATTTTCTATTTTGGATTAAACAAAAATCTTGCAAAGCAGAGCGACTCACGTAAAAATGAACAGGGTACAGTAATACAGACATCAATAGTTGGCATTTCTATCCGTTGTTTATTTTAAATATTAGAAAATAAGTTAATGAAATATTTTTACACTTACCATAATTGTAGACAACATTTTTTGTAGAATCTTTAAGTATTTCTAAATGTTTAGTAGGTTCTTGTGTAGGTTGAAGATTTTCTCTTTGATCAAATTGACTTTGAAGTAAAGGTTTTGCTTGTTCATAAACTGTATCAGATAATCGACTTTCTATTGATCGATGTTGTTTAATAGGAATTATTTTCCCCCAATTTATTGGATTCTCTTTTGATCGATTATTTAATTGATAATCTTGTTCAACATGTGAACTAGTTAAATATTCTATATTAGGAGTTCTATCAAGTAAATTTTCACCTAATGTTTCATAAATAATTGGTTTATCTGTATGTTGTAATGTTTGAATTTGATCAATGCGATCATGATCAATAACTTTTGTCTGTTGTGTTGTCAATGTTGATGATGGAATATTTGTTATATGTTCAAATATATTTAGTTGTTCATCACGAACAGGTCGAATATTTGAATTTGGATCAATTTCAACTTGACGTAAAAGATCTAATGCACGTATACGTCTTTGATAATAATCATCTTCACGTAAAGTTTCTAAACGTTCTTCATCAGATTGATCTAATCGATGCATACGTGATGCATTTAATATCATTGGTTGTTCACTTGCTTGTGATGTGTTTAATGAAACAATACCACTATCAACTGGTATTTGATTTAATTTATTTCGAGAATATTGATGAATATTTGCTGTTGAAATATTTTCAAATACTGAAATATCTTGTTCAACTCTTGCCATATGTTCAGCAATAGGAGCTATTAATTGTGTACGTTGACGTTGTATTTCATCATCAATATGACGTGTTATTTGTTCATTTTGTTCATCAGATAATTGACCTACATAAGCAGCAGCTAATAAAAGTGGTTGAGGATCAATATTATGCTGATGTTGAGTTTGCTCAGGTGTAAGAATAACCATAGCATGATCATAATCATGTGGAGGTATTTGAAGACGTTGAGCTTGTTGTGCTAATAAATTTAATTCATTTATTTCACCTTGATTTAATGTTAATACATGTTTTATATTAACCATAGACAAATCATAATTGCCTGATGCACTTTCAACGCGATCAGCATGAAATACTGGAACTTTTTCAATATTTGTCGGTGAAGTATAAATTTTAGTTGGAGAACGACGAGGTGATATTTCTGTAGTATCTGCCGGTGTAATGACCTACAGTTAAAAGAAATTTTTTTTTCTTTTATTAATACTTTCAATCATTTGTGTGTCAAAAGTAAAGTTATGAGTTTGTCTACTCGTCTTTTGTAGAACTCATATCATGTTTTGCAAACAAAAATGATGAATGTAAAAGCTAAGCCGACGTTTTGTAGTCTTGTCTCTCATAGAAACGAAGGGAAAGGAAAAAAAGACTAAGAGTCACTGAGTACAATTTCATAGTAACCGAAGATAACACGCGTCAGCTGCCTCTTCCAAGCTTCTTTAGCAACAGAAAAAAGTGCTGAACTGCTCTAACAATCAGACTTTTGAGGAAATCTTTTCAAATCCCTGCTTCTTGTTTCAATGATTCTTTTTGCCTATGAATAGTAAATAGTATTCTAATAAAAGCCTTTACAAGATTTGGATTCCTATTGAGATTACGCCAATCTATTGAATGTTGGCCCTAAGCTTTGTACATATAGAGAAATCATCTAGACCAGTTTCTATAAAAATTCAAAAGTTTTGAAAAAGTTTCGTCGAAATATGATGCTTTCAAAAAATCCACGTTGTATACATTATTCATGAAAAAGTGTCCATATCTTGAAAGTCTCATATCTCGAAGAGACTTTGTTCGAAACTTCTGAATTTTTTTATAGAAATGGGTCTAGTTGATTTTTGTATATGCACAAAGTTGAGAATCAAAAATTGAAACCATAAGTTTACCGAAAATCTGCAGCCTCTAGAAAAAGAAATCGATAACTTGGTCAATTCCAAATCCTTTCTAGTTTTTATTAGAACATTATGCAATATCTAAAGACAAAAAAATCATTGAAATCGAACCGAAACATCTGAAGAGAGTTTCTCATTAGACTGTTCTAGAATATTCCCAAGTCTACCTCGAAATTTAAACGACTAAAATACGTTTGTCAATATTAGAGCCCATGGACACCCAAAATTTTCGAAATCCAAACCCTGTTATCTGATTTTTTTTGTATTCAATTGCGAGCATATCCTAAGTATTTTTCAGACAACTAGGACTCGTTGGATCCAACATTTTTGGACTCGAATCCGACTTGGCTGCGTCTATATTCAAAATATCAAGGATGATGGGTAATGATGTATTGATTTACCGCAGTCATCAAATAATCAATATAAAAAACGTGAACTGATTAAGTTATAACCTTCAGTATCAGTGTTTCTGAGCTTTATAGATAGTTAAAATAATAGTTCCCATGTAAAAAAAACGCGAAAAACCTGATTAAAATCGATTTTTTAAAAAAAATCATAAAAAAACGATTAAAAGTACCAATTTTTGATTAAATTCTAAATAATAATCGATTAAAATCGATTTTTGCTGCGAAAATCCATTAAATATCGATTTTCTGACAGAAAATCGGGATAATCAATTAAAAATTGAATCGATTCGAATCCATTACTTTTCGTAATCGATTAAAATCGATTTCTCTCTGGCAAAATTCATTAAAATCGATTTTTTTGTGGCAAAATCCATTAAAATCGATTACGAAAAGTAATGGATTCCAATCGATTCAATTTTTAAACGATTATCCCGATTTTCTGTCAGAAAATCGATTTCAATGGGTTTTCCCAGCAAAAAATCGATTTTAATCGATTTTTTATGATTTTGTTTTGAAAAATCGATTTTAATCAGATTTTTCGCGTTTTTTTAACATGGGATGACAAATCAAACAATACTATTAATTTTGAAATATATTATAGCATAAGAAAACGCAGAATGAAAATAGTCTCCCGATTTTTGTTTAGAGTGTGAGTCTCAGGAGCTGGCTTACCAAATGATAAAGATGGATTATAAATGATTGTTAGTCTGAATACTAAATTCTATTCTTATTTCTCTACATTAATGAAAAAAACTGCAGCTGCAAAAAGTAATAGATTTTAATCGATTTATATATGTTCCTAATCGATTTTAATTGATTATTTACGTTCCTAATCGATTTTAACTGGTCAAAAGATGTAATTGCACAATCTCAATCAAAACAATTCAAATATCAGTTCCAAATTTACTATGTTTGTAGAGCTGAAGCCTTATGATAATTTCGAGATGAGCACTCGAAAAAAAATCATTAAAAAATAGGGTTTCATGTTCGGATCTCGAGAAAAGCGCTTATTTTCGATGCTAATGATTAAAATCCATTAAAATCGATTATCCAACACAAATCAATTAAAACAAGATACAAGGTTAAAATATGTTAAAATCAGATACAAGGTAAGAATCGGTTAAAATCAGATGTCAAGTAAGAACCGATTAAAATTAGATGCCATGTCAGAATTGATACAAATCCATTAGGAATTAATAATCGATGAAAATCGATTCGAACATATCGATGTAGAAAAATTCCGGAAAAAATCAGATTTTAATCGATTTTTTTCTGATTAAAAATCGATATAAATGGCACGATTTTAATCGAATTTTAATCAGATTTTTAATCAGAAAAATCAATTTTAATCGATTTTTTTCGACCGGAACTATGGCATTTAAATCGATTTTTAATCAGAAAAAAATCGATTAAAATCTGATTTTTCTCGGGTTTTTTTTATTACATAGGTTATGCTAAATTCAGAAAAACGGAACATAAAAAAAAAGATAAAACGACTGAATAAGGACAAATCAAAGAAAAACAAATAGAGGTTGTTCGACATGCAGAAATAAATATCACAGGTCGTTTCTCCATCCATTGATCATCATTAGAAAACAACTATAGTCTGCTAGAGATTTCTCACTACACATGCTTTTTATTAGTATAATGAAACTAAAGAACACATATGAGTTCCACATTTTAATCTCAACAAGACTACTCTGACAGACTTCGTTCTTCACTATCGAAATGAGAAAAGAAATAGTACAGAAACATTTGTATGAGATAGATGAAGTTGATATGATACTGGTTTTTTTGTTGTATGTTTTACCTGAGTAGCTTTTTGTAGATTTGGCTCATAATCAACATCTTTGAAAAGTATTTGTTGTGAAGTGGTTAATGCACGTTCAATAAGACCATCTGAAGGTGGTTCAACAATATTACTGTGAGCTCGATCTTTGCGAATATAAACATGAGTGCGTTCAACAAAATCTGGAGGAGGAACCGTTAATACATGAGGAGTTTCATATTGTTCTGTTGTCTTCGTTGTTATAGTTGTTGGTTTTGGTACTGGACGTTGCTTAACAGTTGTATAAGATGGTGGTGGAGAAATAATACCAACATGATGAACAACATCAGCACTACCATCATCAGTTAATGTTCGACGTGCACGACCCGTGCGAATTTTTTGTGTTTGTACAACTGGTGGTCGAATAACGATTAATTCATTACGTGAATCATTATCAATTGATTGAATACCTGATCCATTTATATGAAGAATACTTGTAGAAGTTAAATTTGATGGACGATGTTGACGATCAACTACGGGAGTTTTAGCAACTTCAATTATTGGTGGTTGAGAATATTTAACTGCAGTACTAAAATTTATGTCGGATGTATACATTGGTGGACTACCAATACCTAAAATTTACATTAGAAAAAAAAATTAAGATCATAAACTATAAGATAACCTTGGTTTTTATATACACTTATATAAATAGATCGTTATGAGGGATATATTTAGAAATGAAATGTTAAATTAGCAGTAATGTTCTAATTGTTACATGAATTTTAACATAAGCAGAAGAATAGAAAGAAGAGTTTTAATTCAAATTGTGACCTTGGGAATAATTTTGTCAATATACATGATGCTACAAAAGTTCGATCAATAAAACAACATGAATAGCTCATTAGTCGTTCTAACATTGTTTTTTCATTGTTTGATTCAATATTTATAGAAGTTTTATTTCATATATTTCTAATAAAACCTTTGCATCTATAGAACTCAAAATTCAAATAACAGGTGACCCATTAAGAATGGATCTATTAGTTTTTTTGCATATATTTCGATAGTATGAAAACGTGAAAACGCAAAGCTTTTTTAAACGATGCGGTCATGTCTAAAATTCAGAATTTTAAAAACAAAACTTTTTGTCAATTTTTGTTCTAAGCACCTTAGCCCTACAGTAAGTCATTTTGACAGTCTCTCACTAGATTTCAGCCAACAAACGATAACAGCATAGGACTAATTAAGTAAATATTTAAAAAGTTTCAAAGTTGATTTATGGGTCTCTGAATAAACATTTTTGTTAACACACGAAAATGTATGCAAATGTTAATGGCTATTCAAATGTTAAATTATGAGTACGATTTTATGCTAAGTTCTGGAAATCTTCATAAACTTAAGCATATGTATATCACGACTGAGAACTCAATGCATTACAAGAAACATGTTCACATACAGAACATTTATCAATCATCTTTCGAAATTATAGAAAGCTTTGATAAATCTAAACGCTACACATATCTACATGACCCATCTGTCACTTTCACTCAAGCTCAAATTTGAACAAGTCATCATTATAAAACCAAACTTAAAAATTGCAATTGAAAAAAAACATGTCCACTGAACATTGCATTATGATCACATTTGTGAAATCAGCACTATGGATGACGTTCTGAAAGATATCGAGTAATTAATAAAGAAAAGTCAATAACACTTATAAAAATGAGCCGTGATCAAGTGTTTGGTCTATGTAACTCTTCTTCATAGAATGGTTGAGCGAATAGTGTATACGGACAGAACACTTGATCATGAATCAATTCAACAACTGTCATTAACTTTTCTTCACTAATTATTCTAGTTTTTTCAGAACATCATCGATTTTCGACAGTACTGACTTCACAATTGAAGTGTTAATGCCATGTTTAGTTAGCGTGTTTTTTTTTCTAAATTCAATCTATAATTTTCGTTTTATAATGATGACTTATATGAATTTGACCTTGACTGAAACCACTTTAATTCTGACTTACACAGGTGCAATGATTTTATTTTCAATATATTGAATAAAGCTTTTATTACCCAAGCAGACAAACATTTTCAAAAACGCGTTTAAACGCACAAAAAAGGGCTTAAAATCCATAAAAAGTGGACGTGTTTTGCTCACAATTGCGGTTCCCGGCTGTCAGAGAAAAACGACCACTTTTTGCCCTTTTTGTGCGTTTAAACGCGTTTTCAGCAAAAAAAAACGGTGATAAACGCGTATAAACGCATAAGACGATCGTAAAAAGTTGTCATCTTTTTTATACTCATAAATCACAATCATAATTACAATCACAGTTCACGAAAAGGAAAAAGATAACTACTTTTTATGTTCTTTTTATGCGTTTATACGAGTTTACAAGCGTGTTTTTGCTGAAAATGCGTTTAAACGCACAAAAAGGGCAAAAAGTGGTCGTTTTTCTCTGACAGTCGGGAATTGCGATTGTGAGCCAAACACGTCCACTTTTTATGGTTTTTAAGCTCTTTTTTATGCGTTTAAACGCATTTTGAAAATGTTTGTCTGCTTGGGTAGTATCAGATAAAACTGTAAAAAAGAATGTAAATTATTTGAATCCGATTTTCGGAACTTGCTGCAGAACTTCAACTATTTATCTACTAATATATGTACGACTGATCTAATCGGTAAGTATCTATATGAGTTTTATTCATTATCACAAAGAATACATCCTATTCCGCGATGTTGAACATTGCGGAATCAGTTCCTCCCCTGGAACCGGTTCCATCCAATTCCGGGAACTCGATCATCATTCAGTGTAACACATCGACTCGTCACTGACCGAGTTCCATAAAATTCCCGGAATTTCCAGAACTAAGTTCAGACGGAATTGCCCCGAATTCCCAGCAATTCCGGAATCGGACGGAATTTCCGGGAATTCCTAGGAATTCCATCCGATTCCGGAATTCCGGCAATTGCTTCCAATTCCGGAATTGGTGGAGATTCCATCTCCACTCAATTCCCGAAATTCCGGAATCGGACGGAATTCCGTGCAATTCCATCCGAGTCCGCGTAATTCCGTCTCGACTCAATTCCCGGAATTCCGTAGCGGAATTACTTTTCGCCCTCACCCTCACGCATGATATTGTGACTGAAGATTATCATCTCGCATAAGTAAGTAATTCCGATACGGAATTCCGGGAATTGAGTCGAGAGGGAATCGCACGGAATTGGACGAAATTCCGTCCGATTCCGGGATTCGGGGAATTGATTCCAATTCCG